TTTTTTTTGGTTTTTCTCCGGTACCAGGAACCGAACTCACGACCTTGCGCTTGCCAGGCAGGCGCTTTTGCCGCTGAGCTAAATCCCCAGCCCCATTACAATATATTTTGACCAATAAATACAATGCAATATTGTTTCTCAGGTGACTTGGTGGGATTTCTACAGTATATTCTAAAATAGCAAAATGCAATTTTTAAAAAATTACATAATTTTTAAAAAAAACTACAACCAAAAAATCCTTTAGGTATGTGCTTATGTTAATGTGCAACCTACACAGACATACACACACCTATGCACATATATATCCATGTATGTGAGCATAGGGAAAAAACAGATGGTCAACAGGCAATAGCAATACAGTAAAGAATGAGTGTGTGTAGAAAATGGGTCAAAAGGTTTACGTGAATGGCTTGGAGAAATAATAGAACAGAGAAAGTAAAGAAAAAATATTGGGGGAGTAAAAAAAAAAAAATCAAATAATGGTGTGTGTGCATATATAACAGATAAGTATATATATTTTCTATAAAATATCCTACCATCAGAATGAGCTCTTAGGGGCTGGGGATTTAGCTCAGTGGCACAGCGCCTGCCTGGCAAGTGAAAGGTCATGAGTTTGATTCAGAGTACTGGAAAAATAACAAACAAAAAAAAAATGAGCTCTTAATTACTAAAGAGTTAGTTAAGGTTATCAAAATATTACATAAAGTCAGGTTGAGCAATGAAAAAGCATACCACCAGCAATGCTGATCTTTGAAGAAAAACATATTCAAGAAAATCCATTAAGAATAAGAATCCATACATACTATGTTACACACATGGTTAAGTGGGCTCTTTTCATTTTAGTTTCTCTCTTTAATATAAAAAGTACTAACTGGAGTAGAGATGCTCAACTCATATAAAGTAAAGATAAACATGAACTTCAGGAGACGTAATAAAAGGTAGGTGGGTCTCCCACTCTGAACTCCTTTTTCTTTTCTAATAAGATACCATTCACAGTTTCTTCAATACTCTGCCTTTTGCATACATATTTGCACATGTGTGAATATATGTTTAGGATAAATTCCTAGGAAAGGAATATTGTAGCAAAGTATACATTTTTGTTTGTGGTGCTAGAGATAAGAGTATATATCATATGAATTAGGGTGGATTGTGTCAAGCTATCTGCCTAAGAGGCACTCATTTATACCCCTACCTTTGAGAACTATTTAATTGTAACTAGTAGTTAGTTACAACAGAATTTACATTTTACAGCCTGGCATGTTATCTGTTTCACCAATATGGTAAACACAGGAATGCTGGCACACATCTGTGATCCCCACACTTAGGAGGCTGAGGCAGGAGAATCTCTACAAAAGTTTAGGGTCAGCTTAAACTAAATAGTGAGACTCTGCCTCAAAAAAAAAAAAAGTAAACAGAAAGGGCAGAATATTTAAATTAAGGAAGAAAGAAATTAGCAAAAAACAGTGTGAGCTTTAGAAGAATGCAATGGAACAGTCAGCTTACCTATAGCACAGGCAGCCAAGCAAGCTATTGTGGGAGAGTTAACAGGAGATAAAAATAAGGTCCAATTAATGAGATTTCAGTACCAACAAACAATTCTTAGATTTGAAATAGTTATTATGGGACCCTCTTTTTGGTACCTTTTTATAGCCTGTTTCGGTCAAAACTTAAAATTACAATTTAAGTCAAAGATCTTAACTGTCTTTATTTTTTATTCTAGAATAAGGCAACATTTCATTACATACAATAGAATGTTTCAATGTGCTGACCGCAGAAGGTTAGTTTTACAGCTAGAAAAGGGCTCGAAGAAAGCAGAAACAACAGAAAGTGGATTGGTTATTTCAAAGATACTCTCCTACATCAGGCAATGGTAGTGCATACGTAATCACAGCTACTTGGGAGGCTGAGATATTAATCAGAATCTCAAGTTCCAACCAGCCTGGGCAATATAGAGATACCCCGTCTCAAAATTTAAAAAGGGTCAGGAATATATATCAGCGCTAGAGTGTTTATCTGGCATACAGGTGGCTCTAGGTTCAATCTCCAGTACTGTAAAGCCCTCCCCACTAGAGCAAAAACAAAAACCTAAGTCACTCTCCTTATAAAGCAGGGATAAGGAGACAATACAATGGAAAAACAACTTAATATCATGTTACTTCCAGTTACCTTTTTTGTAAAAAGACTAACATGAAGGGAACTTCAATATCATGCTATCTCAAAAGGGCTAGTCTGGGAAATTTGGTATCTCCTCTTTGATCTTCATTTTTCTTAAACTCAGTTCCACGATAATTTTTAGACTGGTTGTTGAGGCCTAGTGTAGGAGCTTAGTCCAAAACAACAGCCTCCTCTAATTTTTATTCAATAACGCTCACACACAATCCAGTTTTATCCATCTAAAATATCCAGTAAAAATAAAACAAAATAAAGCCAAAGATGTTGGCCTATGCTTGTAATCCCAGCATTAAGGAGGCTGCATTGCTATGAGTACCAGGCAAGCCTGGGCTACATGGTGAGTTCAAAGTTAGCCTGGAATACATAGGGAGACCCTGTCTCAAAAGAAAACAACATAAAGCAAACAAATAAACAAACAAAAAAGCAACCAACCCCCCTGGCCCCAAAATATATATTAAAATACTGAAGTATACAATTCTTAACTACAAATTAAATACTACTGGTATTTTCAGTTTACAGACATGGAAGTAAATGTACTTCCTGACTAGACACATATTTTTTAAAAATACATGCCTATATATAGAAAATAAACAGACCTAACAAATATAGGTATAAAAAACTATAAAACCTTCATACGCAGAAAAAAGTGAACATCCCTCCCCTTAGTTCTTGGTCCTTTTTAAAACATAAATACTATTTCCTATGAGGCTTTATAAAACAGAAATAAAGGGGCTGGGGATTTAGCTCAGCGGCACAGCGCCTGCCTGGCAAGCGCAACATCGTGAGTTCAATTCCTGGTACCAGAAGAAAAAAAAAA